CCTACACTGGGGAAAGACAAACGCAAAAGAACTCCAAGGAACTCTCGGGTCTACTGACAAGGAAGGACCCTCCCTTGAAGCTGATGCCCTGATTGGGACTTCTAGCCTCTAAAACTGTGTGACAATCAATTTCTGTTCTTTAAAGCCACCTACTTTTGGTATTCTTTGTTATGGCAGCACGAGGTAACTAAGACACATGAGATAATGGGGTAAGAAAGGCCAGGATAAAGTCCAAACAAGCAGGAGACAATTACTGGGTAGAGTGTCTGAGATTAGCCACAAGGCATGTAGAGATGCTAGGAAGGAGGCATGTAGAAGGTCAAGAGGGCCAACGAGTGTGCCATACACTGCCAAGCCACTCAAAGGTAGCCCTCAACCAGCCCTTCTTCTCTTGAACATGCTGTAATCATTAAGGTTGTGTGTCAACTTGGCTGGGCCATGATTCTCAGTGGTTTGGCAGTTATGATGTAGTTTGGCAGTTGTATAATGATGTAATCGCCTCCATGATGGGATCTGCTATGAGTAGCCAATCAGTTGAAAGGGAGTTTCCCTGGGAGTGTGGCCTGCATTGAACATAAGTGGACTCTCTGGCAAGGCTCGAGGGCTTTTGTTCCCTCTAGATCCTGCAGCTGGCTTCCGGGTTCATCTGACCTCCAGTTCTTTGGATTCGAGGTAGTAGCTTGTCTGCGGTCTTACCTGCCAGTCTTGGGATTCATCAGTCTTCCCAGCCTGTAAGCAAGAGCCCTGCTGTCTGACCTGCCGACCTTGGGTTCACCAGCCTCTGTGGCTATGTGAATCAGGAGAAGCCTCCAGCCTCACCTACAGATTTGGGACATTCCAGCCTCTACAACCTTAGAAGATGACTGATTGTGTCAGAAGCATGTTGCATATAACAGTTGGATTAATCCCTATAACAGGCCTCCAGCTGTATGCATCTAATGAATGATATGCAGAAACTAGACATGGGACCTCATACTACCAAGAAAGCAGCAGGAGCAGCATGCATACTTTGGACCCGGGGTTCCTGCGCTAAGAATGCTCCTAGACCAGGGGAAGACTGATGACAAGGACCTTCCCCCAGAACTGACAGAGAGAAAGCCTTCACCTAGAGCTGGCACCCTGAATTCAGACTTCTAGCCTCCTTGACTGTGAGAGAATAAACCTTTGTTTATTAAAGCCATCCACTTGTGATATTTCTGTTGTAGCAGCACTAGATAACTAAGACACACGCCATATGTAGTCCTCCTCCATGCTCTCAATCATACTGTTCCTCCAATCTTGGAGGCCTCCCTCAGATTCTCCGTATCCAAACCTTCCTTACTTTCCAAGTTCCAGATCAAGTCTCCTCTCTTCAAATGCCTTTCCAACTGCTCTAGCCCACCACAGTCTTCCTCCTTGATACATCTTACACTGCTTTGAAATTCAGGCTTAGTCTCTCCAGTGCAAGTAAAGCTCCTTGAGATCAGTTTTTCTGCCATTTCACTTTTGTCCCTCCTACAGAAAAAGAGCACAGAGAAAATGAATTAAGAATGCCACGTTTTATACTTTCATACTTTGAAACTATCAGTGTTTCTATTTTGTTTTTCTCCAATTACCACTTAAAACACTACAGATCTTATAGCTTTAGAAGTGCTTCCTTATTTGAGGATTTATAAACTACATGGTTGAAAATACATCCTAGACAAGGACTTTCCCTACAGCTGGTAGACAAGAAATGAACAAAGCTGGAGTCTGAAAAGACCAGTATAATCAATGTGCTTAACAAATGTCAGCAGCTGCCAGGAAAGATTTCATACTTAGGATGGTTAGTTGGCTAGAGATTAGTTCTTTTATAGGAATTTGTTTCCTCTGCAAAAGAAAATTTTGAAGACATTAAAACTTAATGAGAGTTCTAGAGGCCTGGGAACATGACACCAAAAATTCAATACAAAGCACAGCTTTCCAAGTAGGTTCAAAGATTTTCAGCAAAATGTTAAGAGATTATTGCAATAACAGAAAATAAAGTGAGGTTTTTTTCCTTGGAAAATAAATTACACCAGAGGAATAATATATTTCCCTAAGAATGGAAATAGGTACCCTAGAGTTTCAATTGTGCCGTTTTTCTATTGCCTTATTCAGATATTCATTAGATACCTAATATGTGCCGGGCATTGTGCTAGGTCCTGGGGAAACAGAGAAGAAAAAGACATCCTTGCTTGTAAGACTTACCCTATGGGATAAACACAACGTTTTAAATATGCCAAAAGCTATAATATACCTATAATACAAATGCTATAATGCACCTGTCTTGGGTATGGGGCCATGACTGATCCATAGATGTCTGGTTTCATTAAATGGGTATAGGAACTGTATGAATCAAGCAGCTTGAAGCAGACCACATTAAGACTGCGGTTTCTGGAGATCAAGAATAAGATAGAAGGTAAAGACATCTAGGATGTCAAAGCAGATTCTAGAAATCCTATAATCACCAGTGGACAGAAACAACCTAAATGTCCATAATCTAGAAAAGCAGGACATATGTCAAGCATTACTAGAGTTAGTAGTGGTGAATAACAGACCAGGGGTCTATGAGTTCAGACTAAATACAAAAGAATAGAAAAGTCTCAGAGGTTAAGACAGGCTACCGATCTTTAATCCAAGTAGCCAGGGACATTCAGTCAAGCTCATTTGTGATTAAAGGGCAGGAGGAAGTCAGATATTGAAGAAGGTAAACTCACATCTGATGTAAGCCCACCATATGCTAGACATTTGGCTAGTTACTTCATATAGAATGTCTCATTTAATTTTCCCCAAACCATAAGAGAGTTGTTTATAGATGAGAAAACTGAGACTCACAGAGATTAAGCAACTTGTCCCAAATCACAGTGATCATCCTGGTAGAGCCAGCATTCAATCCCTGTGGTCTGGCTCACAAGTCTTTGCAGTGAGTCTAATCTATTTACTTCCTGTGTAGGAAGGCACATTGAAAATGGTTTCAGCAGCTGGGGAAAAATTGAAGAAGTTCTGACTGCAGGTTAATTTAGACAAGCTGGCTAAGAGAAAGGGAGCAAGGACTAAGGGGGATCATGACAAAATGATCCAAAGAACTTCGATTATGTGGTAAAATTAGATTTAGTGTGACGCTTTTTTTTTTCTTTTTTTTTTTGCAGAACTTCAAGATGGCAGTGATTATATGATCAGGAGCCTTGGCACTTTTGTCTTTAGCTCTAAGTTACTGCTTGCCGCCCCCTACCCCCAACCAAAAAGAAAAAAAGGTTCTAGTATTTGGGGATATTTCAGAGGCTCAACAAAGAGTTCATTAAGTAAGTTTACTCAGGAAAAGGGAAGACCAGAGAACAGAGAATCAGAGGCTGTAAAAGTAAGCGAAGTCCTCTCCCTCAGCAAAGCCATTCCTTCTCTCCAGGACTGAGGTATTGCTCCAAGCCTGCACTAGGGGAAGCAGCTGGGTCCCTGATTAAAAAACAAACAAACAAAAAAAAAACACCCAAACCCATTGCGCACGAGTCGATTCCGACTCATAGCAACCCTACAAGACACAGTAGAACTGCTCCATAGAGTTTCTAAGGAGCGTCTGGTGGATTCGAATTGCCAACGTTTTGGGTAACAGCGGTAGCACTTAAGTACTCACTACACCACCTACAAAACTCATGGGGTGGGGGTGCTGCTGCAACTGGCTCCAGCTTTTAGTCCCAGGTGGGATAATCTTCTACCATCACTTTGTTGGAACAGAATTTACATTCAACATTCCACAAATAGTGACCACCTGAAATAAAGAGAGTGGCTTTGTCTGGGCGCTCCTAAGAAAATACTTCATCAAAGTGAGAAGTCTGGAATAGGATGTCATTTAGTGGAAATGAAAGAGCAGTCAAGAATATGAGCATAGGCAGGGATGAACAAGACATATGGGGAAGACTGTTTAAATATAAATAAATAAAGTTTGCTTGGCTGCTAAAGGGAGACCAAGTAGAAGAACACACACACAAACACGTATTTTTAAACGAGGGATGTTTACTAGGGGCTGAGCAAGCTAATTGGTGTTATTTTAAATGACTTGTGAGGAAGCATCTGCAGCTATTGTAGATTTCTGAATCGCATTATGTAAGAAATTCTTAGTATAGGTAGATTTGTGGAGTTTAGAGCTTATTTAGTTTTCAAGAAGATACAGAATTTTTCAGTTTCACATCCCCAACCCCTTCAGGGATGGGATTCTAGTCTTCAGATCACGCCCATCAGAAAGGCAAATTACACAATTTATCACAATTCTTAATACCCTTTATTGTCAGGGAAACCCTTGTGGTGTAGTGGTTAAGAGCTATGGCTAACCAAAAGGTCGGCAGTTTGAATCCACCAGGCGCTCCTTGGAAACCGTAGGGGGCAGTTCTACTCTGCCCTATAGGGTCACTGTCAGTTGGAATCGACTTGACAACAATGGGTTTTGTTTTATTATCAGAAGTGTCCACCTTACGCCACTAGCACTTTTTTCTCCAGCGCACACACTGCCCAGCAAACATTGGATTCTCCCTCAGTGTCCAGTAGGAAGACACACTTCCCCTATGGAAAAGGTGGGGCCTTCCTACACAATAACACATTAGAGTCCACACAGATATGCCTGGAAGAAAGGCCTAGAGATCTACTTCTGGAAAACCAGCCATTGAAAACCGTACCGATCACAGTTCCACTCTGATACACATGAGGTCGCCACTAATAGAGGACACTATCTTGTCTTGGAGAGGCCTGTTTGAGTTGTGCTTTTCGACTTTTTTCCAGTTACCCCACTCCTACTCTGGCAGAAAGCAATCCTTCAGTTCAAAGTGGCCTCCTGCCGCACAGCCTATCTTGCCGGTGCCAACGGACGCCACAAGCGCAGACAAACGCACCAGCACCGAGAGGATGCAGTGGTCTCGCGAGAAACGCGAGAGCGAGGAGCTCTCAGGCTTGCTGGAGGTGGTGCGAGTCCCAGCGAGCCGCGCTAGGCACTGCGACTCCGCATTTCCGCAAAGATGGCGGCGGCGACGGCGGGCCGAGGGGTTCTGCTTGCGACCTGGGGCGGGAGACTGCGGCGTGTGCTCGCTGCCAGCAGACGGGCCTTGCCGGGCCCCGCGCCCTTGGCGGCGGCTGTGGCCGGAGTGGCCCTGACAGGAGCAGGAGTGAGCTGGTACAAGGGCCGCGTGAATCTTGCGGCGTCTGAGGGCAACCTCACCGTTTTAGCACAGGTAAGGGACGGGCCCTTCCACCAGCCCCAAATCAAGCTCCTCCCTCTTCAGACGCCCCTGGAGGGAGGGCTTTGGAGCTGGGCGGTCCCTGCCGTCTTCTGGAGCTAGAGTGAGGGCACAGCAGCCAATACCCCTCGCAGGGGAGAAGTCCTTCCTTCTTTTCTTGGCCGCCCAACAGAGAAACCTCAGGGCATTCGAGTCAGAAGACAGGGACATTCAGCCTCCCCTGGGAGAAGCCCCGAGCAAGGGAACACTACGGACAGCAGACCTACGACACAGATTTAGTAGTGATCAATGTGGGCGCATCTTGATTTAACACCTTTGCTGATTTTTCGCTTTGCCCCGCTCCTCCGCAGTGAGGTCTGCAGGGAGTCTGTGCCCTGTTACCCAACCTCGGGAGCGTCGGGACGCACGTTTCTTAACCTTTATAACCAGAAGTTTTACGACTCGTTCTTTGTATAACATAGTGAAGTTATTCTAAAAGATGACTTTTTTGCTTAATCATGAAAATGACAACCATAAAAACTGTTGATAATGTCCAGGTTTTATCACCTGTTAGAAACATTACGTGCTCATAAACTTTAAGGCTTTAGTGGACCATAAGTACTAAGCAAAAATCGTTTCTTCGAAAACTTCCATGTGTTAAAGATACAGGTCAGGTTCTATGCTTCGATATAAGTAATATTGCCATATAAAACATCTGAAAACTAAACAGTACTACTTTAAAATACTTTATGGACATTTTAGTTTTAATTAGTTTTTTTGTGTGAATTTTTTAAAAATTAAAAGCAGTACTTGACTCTTTTTTTAAATTTGATTTTATTAGATTTACATTGTGTCTTTCCGATTAAAAGCCCAAGGAACATTCAAATACAAAACAGAGGAAAATAGACTCTGTGAATTAAAATTGTTCTGGCAAATGATGTTTTATACTTGTATTAAATTAAGATACCACATAGATAATACATGGAATAAGTCTCCCCTATCCTCACAACAGTTCTGATCTATCCTCTAGTGTTTTATAGCATTTCCATTAATCTTCTATAAAGCAGTTTGATTTGTTATTCACTGGTTTCTCTGCCTCCATTCCAAACACCTTAATCCATCCTGTTTAGGACCCTTAGATTAACATTCCTGAGATAGCTCTGTAGCCATATATTGTACCCCTCTTCTTCAGAAACCATCGATGCCTCATTCTACCTGGGATAAAATGCGCGTTTATAAGCTTTCCCTTTCAGAGCTCTTTCTAGTCAACTACTCGGACATACCTTCCAACAAAAGTGATTCAGTCCATGTCCTCAGACCTTGACTTCATTTTTCCCACCTTTGCAATTTGTAGGCTGATTTCGGTTCATCCAGCTTTCATCTGTATGTCAGATACTGTAAAGGATACATAAGGCATAAATCCTGGTCTTAGAGAAGTCACAGTCAGTTTCAAAAGCCTTATGTCCTTGCCCTTTGCTGCACTTCCCAACTAAGATGTCCTTTTTCTCCATTGACTGGCAAAGTCATACTTCCAGATTTGGCTCAAATGTCATCTTTTCTAAATCTTTCCTGATTTGCTTTAGTCAAATAAAACCTTCCTTCTTTCATTCAATCATAGTACTTTTTTTTGTTGTTGTTGAGAATACATAGAGCAAAACATACACCGATTCATCCATTTCTACATGTACAGGTAGTCCCCAATTTATGATGAGGTTCCATTCCTATGAATCCGTGGTAAGTCGGTTCTGATGCAAGTCGAATACCTCATTTTTTTTTAGTTTTCATTATTATTGCCTTTTATTATCAGTATCTTTATAAATGTAACATTGAACATCTGAGAATGATGACATCAAGTTATGCACTGCAATGTTGTATGTAGTACATATTACTAACATAAGATGTACCAAAAACAGACAGTTGTAAGTGCGGTTCTTTGTAACTCAAATACTTCATAAGTCAGAGACTACCTGAATAATTCAGTGACATTGATTGCATTCTTCAAGTTGTGCAACCATTTTAACCCTTCTTTTCTGAGTTGTTCTTCCCCCATTAACATAAACTTAACTGCCCGCTAAGGTTCCTGTCCAATCTTTGGAGTTGCTGTGGTGACTTTGATCCCATATAGACAGTTCTTAAAAGAACATAGTACTCAAGGCAGACATTTTTTACTAGTGAAGCTTAAGTATTGTTTGGTTTTAAGATTTCAGGAGATATTTTTGGCAATCATAATACTTTTTGATAAATGCTGTGAGAGGTATATGCTAGTATTTATGTATGTATCTTTTATTCCCACTAGATTATTTAAACTTGAAGGAAGTCATCAAAATTATAATAAAAACTAGTTATGGTTTCTGGTCTTAGTGTATGCCATGATGAATAGCAGATACAGAAACCCTCATTTTTAGGATAGTATGTTAAGAGAAATGAATTTTTTAAAAAACGACTCATTGAACAGATGTTTTTAAAAAGTTTTTTTGAATGTGATTTTGTGTAATCAGTCTATTTTGAAGCATTTCTATTAGCCGTCTTGGTTCTGAGGCTACATCTTATCATTGTTAATTGATTTGAAAAAACTAAATATTTCTGTAAATTTACATATTTTCTCTACCTTTTCATGGACTAGTGCATTCCTTGCTTTGATGTATTTCCAAGTATTGGTTAGTTTTTTTTGTATGCTATGGAGGATGAAGGATCTGAAACAGGTGAGAAGCGAGATGAGTAAGAGGCTGTCATCAGAGATTTTGGCTACCCTGTTGTTTGAGGTAAATGTTTGGCAGAGTACCAGGATGATTCCTGACCAGACAACTAAAGATGTCTTTTGATTTTGAAAATCAGGTCCTAAGCTCACAACTTTGATAGTATACTCAAATGCAGTGGTGATACTGTCATCACTTTTATGTCTGTCTTTAACTCTGGTTAAAGAGGTCTGTAGCAGTGTCTGTTGCCTGACATAAAATTCTTTTCTTCTAAATAGAGCCTTTTACTTTTCACGGTCAGTACTTGCTAGCAGAAATACACTTGATTCTCAAAAACAATTGATTTTATCAGTTATGTGATAAGAAATGCCTGGTAGAAGTCTGCTGTTTGATTCCCATGTAGAGTTTCCTTAGGAAAGATTATCTTTAAAATCTCCAGCAAGTTATGCTGTTGAACACTGAAGAAATCCCTACAACAATAATTTCTCTTATACTCCTGAGTAGTTTAAAATTCTGAATGATTATTTCTGGATTATTTTGTTAAAATCTCCTGAAGACATAACTGTTACCCAGGGAGTGTTATTACTTTAGTGTCCATGTCAGTATTTCTTCTTTTTGAGATAACGTTATTCTAGTTTTGTATTGTTATGAAAAAGCAAGTTTAAACCACAGGGCTTATGTCATATTACAGTGATAGTTAGCTATTTATTCATTATAATCTCCTGAGCCAGTTTTCTTTACTTGCATTGTAATGCAGCAGCAACAAAATAATAGCTAATGTTTATTGAACTTTTACTATATGGAAGGTGCTGTTGTAAGCATTTATATGTATTATATAGTTCCCACAACAACTCTTTGAGGTAGATACTCTTCCTGTTTTATAGTTGAGGAAACAAAGGCATGGAGAGGTAAAGCAATGCCCAAAGTCACAAGCTATTAAGTGTTGGAATCAAGATTTGAACCCAGAGAGTCCCACCTTTAAATCACCAAGATATGCTGCCTTTACTGCACCAGATATTCTATAGGACTTTGTATAGGGTACAGTGACTGTATTCTTCAGTATTTCTTTTACTTTGTATTTTCTTGCTTCTGTTAGCAAAAACAAAACAAAAAACTAGTTGAGATATCGCAAAGTATGCTTTCCTGTTTTTCTATATAGGATGCCAAGACAGGAACACAGATTGTTCATTCATTCAAAAATAGGTATGGAGTAAACTGCTGAAATAGATACCTCTTGATGGTGACTTTCATAATTCTTCCTTCTCTAGAAGTGACCCCTGACTCATAGAGGTGGACCCCAGTGGTTATGTCTGTACTGTATAACCCTGCCCTGTAGCCATAGCTGATTGGTCCAGGGGATGAACCTATGACCCAAATTTGGCCAAATTCTCTCTCGTAAGGTTTGGAACAGAGTCATATGGAAACTGGGGAATTGTTGGAGTAAAGTCCAGTTAATAACCATGAACTTCTGCTGAGGTCCGTAGAGCTGCCCTTGTTCCTTTGCTTCTTGTGCCTTGGTTCAACTCTTTGATTTATGACACATCTCATTATCTTTCAAGTAAATTTCTGCTACCTTCCCCTACCCTAAGCCCCTTAAACTAGCTGAGTCCATTTCTATTGCTTCAAACCAAGGGAATCTTAACTGAAAAATATCTAGTATGCTAGTCACTGGGAATACAGTGCAGTCATGGTTCCTCACAAAGGTTACAGTCTAGTGGTAGAGATTGACTTACTTAAATCTGTAATAACCAGTTAGTGGGAAATAATAGATCCAAGTGAGACTGGCTGTAAGACTAACTTGCTGTTGATTAAATTAGGGAGCTACTGAGCTAAGGTCCCAGCTAGGGTCCAGCTTGTCCTTAAAATAGACTTTTTTGTGAGACTAGCTAAAATAAGAAGAGGGGTTGAGTCAGGGAATTTGACGATTTTAGATGGTCTCTCTTCTCCCTAAGTCTAATGATAAAATTATTTTATCATTTTTTTCTGGCCTACTTTAGCCTGTTTGTGTTTTAAATTCCTGACATGACTCATGAGCTTCTAAAAACTTTATTATACCAGTGTACTCTATTTAGGATTCTCCTTAAGGCACCACCTAGGCAGCCTGACCTTGTCATGTTGTTGTTAGCTGCTGTAATGAAAAAAACTGAACCCATTTATACCGTTCTATAGACTAGATTGTGTAAACTAATTTTACCTTTTAAACAGTAGTGGATAAATTTTTCTTTGAAAAGCAAACAAAAAAAAATCCTATTGTGAAGTCAGGGTAACACAGTATCCAATATTACATATAACTTGAAGAGAAAAATAGTATAAAGGCAA